AGGGTTGTGGGACTGAGCACCGGATCAGACTGTGTGCTCAGCATGGAGTCTGCTTGGGATTCTTTCCCCCAACCTCTCCCCTCTGCTCTGCTCCTCCCCCTACTCAAGCTCTCTCTCTCTCTCTCTCTCTCTCTCTCTCTCAAGTAAATTTTTTACCTTTTAATCTATGTACAGAAAAGAGTTAACATAGCAGGCTTGTGACTGCAGTCCCCAGAAAAGCTTGTTTACAGATTGGCCCTTGGCTGGTGTCTGGGAACTTGATTAGAAAACGTTCCCTAAATGATAACGGTGGCTCAGTGTGCCTCTACTGTTTGTACGAACAATACAATGAGGTTTATGCTAAGCACCTGCTTTCCTTCTGAGAGTCTGGAATTTCAGTGACTGTAGTCAGTTACACAGGCCCTATGGACCTACATGACCAGCCAGTGATACAAATGCTGGAGTCTAGGCTCAAGCAGGTATTCCTGGGAGACATTTCACACATTAAAGGCAGAATAGGGTGCATCCTATGCAACTCTGCTGGGAAAGGACTCATAGAAGCTTGTGGCTGATTTACCTCCAGACTTTATCTTGAGTGCCTTTCCATTTACCGGTTTTGCTTTGTATACTTTCACTGTGATAAATCATAGCCAAAAGTACAGTCACATGCTAACTCCCATGAGTCCTCCTAAGGATCCACCAAATCTGGGGAGTAATCTTGGGGACGCCTGACAAAATCTACCTATAAATGAATTAAACAATCTGAATCTATCTCAGCATCTCTGCCTCTGGAATGCCATCTCATCTACTCAGGGTGCCAGAGAACACACCATTCATTCACAATAATGCAATGAAGATAGAGATTAGAGATATACTACAAGGCAAATTTACCCATTAAAATAACCTTGTCTACTAAGCAATAAGAATTAAAATGTTAATGAAGTTATCAATGAGAACAGCAAATCCATATTTTTTTCTGGCAAACAAACAAACCTGAATAATATAAAAGCACAACTTGAAGAGTGTTCTAAAATATTTTAATAACACTAATGTGGCAGAGAAATCAAACACACAATTACAAATGAGAAAAATTGACTACATAAAACAATTTTTTTCTATTGAGAAAAACAACCTTGAAGGAAGTGAAGTTCTACACTACCCTTCCTCCAAACCCAAATCATTCTAAGAACTTACCTCCTACACATGAGCACCGTCTGATATTTAATCTCCAGATCTCTTTAAAGAAATCTGTTAGTACAGCAGGTACAACCTTAAAAGAAAGCTCAAAAGACTTCTGTGAAGGAAAAACCCTCTCTGAAGTCAGAGATATTCTCTAAAGGTACATTAATGAAATATAAAGTGAAACTAAATTATTTGATGAGTTCCCAAAGAAGAGGATCATAGGAAATACATCTCTGCTGTTTCTTGAATGATGGCAAAATAATAAATCTCAAGAATACTTTATAATCCAATTAGAAAATTAGAGAAACAAGTCATACATCATGTTGCATGTGTGCGCCATAAACTTGTGTCAACATGTTAGGAGATATCTAATGCACATTTTTTAAATTTAATTTTTTTAACTTATTTATTTGAGAGAGAAAGAACGAGTGTGAGAGAGAGCGTGGGTGGGGAGGGGGGGCAGAGAAAGAGGGAGAGAGAAACTTTAGCAGACTCCGCAATGAGCACAGAGCCTGGCTTGGGGCTCCATCTCACGATCCTGAGATCACCACCTGAGCTGAAACCAAGAGTTAGATGCTTAACCGACTGAACCACCCAGGCACCCCTAATGCACATTTTTTTAAATGAAATGAGCTGTTGTGCAGAAAACTTGAGAAAAACATAATTAAATGCATTTTAAATTTACAGCATCCATTCAGATAGTAATTATTACAATTTAAGCAATTTAAGTTACATGTGGTAGGTTCTCCCACATTGCTCTCATTCATATAATGCCTCTTCCTTCTTCCTTTCCCCCAATATTTTCTTCCTAAAACAAGAGTTGGAGGTCCCAATTAGGTTGTGACCATGTTTTCTTATATTTTTATTCCTGGCACCGAGATCAATTCCAGGCATAGCAGGCACTTAATGCATGTTAATTGCTATTGCTAAAACAAGGGGAGAGTATGGTAGGAAAATGTGTGTAAATTGGACATGGAGACCTAGTCCATTACCTTTCTCTGCATCTAGAAGTGAGTTTTCCTAGAATCTCTGCCTTTGCTTCTATCAGAGCATGCAAACCATTTTTGGCCTAAGATGAGAGTTGTTCTACATGTATGCTATGCTTGCTGACTCTCTGATAGTATTGATTCTACCTATTTTGGCCTATAGTGTTTGCCTTCTCAGTGTCTTAGATGGATTCCCTAAACTCGACACCTTACAGAATTTGAACATAATTTGAGATCACTCTGGAACTAATGGCCAATCATTATAGAGACAGACTTCACTGATAGAACAACTGAGATAACCCTGTCCTAATGGCAAGATCCTGCCACTGTTCTACCTGTGTTTTTCCCATTCTCATTAGATGAACATGACTGAGTAAAACTATAGCATTTAGGCCAGATAGATTGTAGCAATAAAAACTGATGCTAAGAAGTGTATGCAAAGTAGGTAATACCTCCCCAAGTCATACTAAATAGTACAGTCTTGTTAACTTTGTGGTGAACTACCTCCTAAGCTGTCAAACAGAAAGTACTTTTTCTCAGGAGGATGAACCATAAACACATCCTGAACTCTGCTAATTTTCACAATGTAACTAGATTGCTGACCTTTACCAAACATCATAAATACCCACTGGATGAGGAAATATCCTGAGTGGAAGGGAAACTTGAACTCCCTGAATTCGAGCCTTTACATTAAGGAAGGATAACATTTTGGCCTGCCTAACTTGCAGCCACAGGTACTTTAAGTCCCGAAGATTTACCGTGACATGCTCACTTCCGCAGCACATATACCGAAGATTTACCGTGACTCCTCTGTAATAGGTTTGAAATTTACATAGGCCACTCCAACTATCCCACTAGTCTGATGGCTCTGGATTTACATGAGGAACCACACAACATCTTACAATGCTGTATTAATCAGGACTCTTGATTGCAGTCAAATCCATGTCAAATCAGGTCCAGTAAAAGCAAGATGAGGAACACATTGACTTGTGTGATTGAAGAGCTGAGGGACAGAGAACATTATATTCAACATAGTTCATCAGGAGTCACACTGCCTGGACCCCCACCTCTCAATATTGTTTTTGTGTGTTAGCGTCATTGTCTCTTAAAGCGCTGTAGGTGTCTCCACGTAGCTGGGAAGAATGGCCATCATGACTGCTAGACTCACATTCTAGCATTGTGACTTAATGGCAGAGCCAGGTGCCCATCCAACTTCAACATAATGAGTGGCTTGGTTGGGGTCACCTGCACATTACTCGCATAGTCATTATTCTCATAATATATACAATGCTACCTCTTGTAATCAGTAGAGTTCTATTATCAATAGCCCCAAAAGAACCACATAGAGTGGGAATAGATGGTTCCTTTCTATGCAAGGGATGCCAAACAGCAAAAAACAATACACATTCAGTTCAAATGTCTATATCCAAACTAATTTGATAGGAATAGTTAGAGTCACTGCCAGCATCCATCCTTGTTTACTCCACTCTGGCCACATTGGCCTCCTTGCTGTTCTTCAGAAAGCCATACACACTCCCGTCTCTGAGCCTTTGCACATATATCTGGAATGCTTCTCTCACCTCCTTCAAGTTTGCACTCAAATATCACCTGCTCAGTGAGGATCACACTAAAATACAACACTCCTACAGCTCTACACACACACACACACACACACACACACACACCCTAGTGACTCAGCTTTGGCTTTTTCCTAAGCATTTATTGTCCAATATATTCTGTGTTTTACTTAATTATTGTCTCAAGGCAATAACACAAGGACAGAAACTCTTATCTGTTTCATTTACTCACTGATATATCTCTAGCACCTAGTATAGTGCCTGGCATATAGTCGGTGCTCATTACATATTTGATGAATTAACAAATGATGGAATCTAGCAGGGGTGCCTTATCACTCTGTTAGATCATGTACATACAGTATTATACAGGGGAGTACATAATAGCACAGTACATGAATACAGTCCTCATTTATCGGCCTCCCCAGGCTTCTACAATTTAGCAAAACACATCCTAACCTCAGTGCTGTGGAACTAGACCCAGGGTGGGATTTCCACAGTTCTCTGGGAGGAGCGATCCCCTTGGATCAATTCAAGCCTTATCTCACGTCCTTGTTATGTTTGCGCAATCCGTACGACTTAAGTAGCTGCTTGGTTTCCTAATCCACATTCCTTTTTCCCACTAGGATTCAAATCCTATTCTGAATCTAAACCCTGACACCCTGCCTAGCCAGGAGGCTAGATCTTTTGGAGAGGGTGCTACTTCACCCAGACAGACCACCTGGACCCAATATACTGCCAACCATCAGTCAGAATATCACAAGAACACAGAGAATAGTGTTGCAACATCCCATCCACCAGACTGAATCCCCTTTAATACTGATTTGGCCTGATTTTCCTGGACTTTGACAGTTCCCTCTTGGACTCTGTATTTATTGCAGCTCTACAACGGAATTAGCTTTGCCTAGTCAATGATCCGTGAGACAACCGGATACTGTGAGGAGTAAACAGGCCTGGAATCCACCAGAGCCTCATACGTTTGCTATTTCTCGTTTGACACTTGAGGGCCACACAGCCCAGGTATGTCTTTGCACCTCTGCAAGCTGTCAAACAACCTTCCCACAGTGATACACAAGTCAAAGGCACAGTCTTCAGTCTGGGGCTGAGCGTGAGTCAACCATCAGCCCCCGAGTCCCCACCCCTACCTCCCCGTCGCGAGGAAACCGCTGCCTCGGCCTCTGTGGATTGGCAGTTCTGAGGCGCAAGCGTGTGAGGCCAGTTGAGACTACAATTCCCATCAGGCATAGCGGGATCACCCAGGCGCAAACCAGACCTCGGCGCGAGACCCAGCGCGGGACTTCTGGGAGAGGAAAATGACAGCACTGGGCTTGCGACTACCCACCGGCAAGCTATTGGAGCCGCTGGCGGCGTTGGGGCGCGTGAACCGAGCTTGCAGCACGTTCCAAACCTTCGCGGAAGTTCTCAGGTTGCCCACGAGACAAATGACGAAGCTCGCGTTCCCACTACAGGAACTCCAGCGGCAGCTCACACCAGACTCGAGGTTGGACCTTCACGTGAAGACCTTCGACCCGAGTCTGGAGGACATCTCCAAGGCGGAGAGCGTCTTCACGGCCACGGGCCGCAACTGCATCGAGTACCTTAGCTCCGCGGTGCGTCTCGACCACGCCCCGGACCTCCCCCACCCTGAGGTGAGAGCCACGGCTGCCCTCAGGTCGTGACCCCTCGGGCAGGCATTTTGCCGTCACCGAACGAGAGAGATTTTCTAGCTTTGTGGGGACGCATGTAATTATTTTAACTAAATAAGCATATATAGTTTATTTTGGTAATGAATGTACAAGACTATAGGATTGTAAAACCCAAACCAGTTCAAAAAATTAAATGGCTTTTTATCTTTTTTCTTTTTAATTAATGTAGGGGAAAACATGCCGACATAAATGAGACAAAGTGAAGACTATGAAAAGTATAATAGTTACACAAATGTGGTGATCCTTATCAGTACATAATTTTCACCCAAAGTCTTCTGTCGTGCAAAAGTAATAATTATATATACATGGCAGCAATGTAGGTTTTTTTTAAAACAACTTTAGTGAAATTTCATGAGTGTGCATTTTATGCATGTCTTATTAGAGAGCTCATTTGCCACTGCACCACTGCAGTGGAAATTTTCCTTCTAATCAGAACTGCTATGATAGTTTAAATAGAACTAAGGGGTAGGTAAGTCATTTAATAATTTTGAGATAGCGTCGTGTTTTGACTGAAATTTCTGAATTACTGGACTTTTTGTGTAATTCGTTTCTTAAAATTTAGTTTTATTTATATATTATCATTGTATTTAATCTGGCAGAGCATTTGAAATTTATGCAGGACTCAGATCAATTCATGTTGAAGGACTAACCGCAGTCTTGCAAAATATATAGCATCCCTGGCCCCACCCACTGCCACCCAGTCCTATTCATATAACCTGAGGTTATTCAAATAACCTCAATAAAAAGCCATTTAATTTAATGCCCTTCCAGATTTCCAAAACACCTCCCGGCCAGAGGGTGATACCACCTTCACCTAAAACCACTGATTGGTATTGTACCCCCTTCAATACCATGTTAAAAAGCGGAGTCATGTATATTAATGGTTATTATCAGGAACGTTATGTTCCTTTCTACACTGTAGAGGTCTAAAGGAGAAAAGCTTAATGGGAACAAGAGGTTAAGGGGAAGGAATAACCTCATAAATACAACGGTGTTACGGTCTACTCTGGGAGTTCATAGGGAAATGCAGTTTCAGACATGTAGTTGTACTTTAGAATAAGTTTTGTTGAAATGCATCTAGTTCTTAACTTCAAAAAGTTTGTAAATATGGAATGCTTAACAAATGTCCCAAATATTCTTGAGTAGCATGATGTAGTTAAAGGCACAGGTTCTGGTTATAGATGTCCTGAGTTTAAATTCCAACTTCTTCCATTTCCAGCTATATAATTTGGGGCCAGTTACTTAGCATTTCTCTACCTCTAGTTTTATCATTTGTAAAATGGGGATAATAATATTACCTACCTTATAGGGATGTTGTAAAAAGTAGATAAGAAAATTTATATTAAGTGCTTGGAAAAGTACCTGGCACTGGGAATCATTCAGGAGATAGTAGCTATATGTTAGAATTTGAGGTTCGACTAAACATAAGCCACCTTTTTACATGGCTAGGCAAGACAATAGTTTGACAGATTTTTTCAGCTAATACAACATATAATAAAAATGTATATATAAACCTAGTACTCAGTTATCTTCTTTTTCCTTGTATAGGTGTGTTTTATAGGCAGAAGCAATGTTGGAAAATCCTCTCTAATAAAAGCCTTATTTTCACTGGCCCCAGAGGTTGAAGTCAGAGTCTCCAAGAAACCGGTATGTTGAAGGAAAGGGTTGAGGAGGTGGGATATAAAAGAAACAGTATATTGAAATGTAAAATATGTCTGAACTATCTCTGAATTGACTAAAGTGACTAATCAATGTTGAGAGGTATAAGAAATCATACTTGCTAAGTTCCTAGAACAGTGATTTCTTTGAAACTAGTAGTAAAGTAAGATATTTTAATGATGCCTGTATATATATCCCTGAAGAAGAAGGAAGTATGTCTGGATTTATTTTAGCTGTCTTGCCAGTTTCTTGAGGAAATCTTTTGTCCAAATCTTTTCCAAAGAGTTGCCAAGTAAAGTGTTCTATTGCCATTCTATATTTGCTTCTTTAAGAATGATCATCTAGTCCTACCCTGATTTTAGAGGCAACTGCTTTGAAGAGGCTTTTCCCTCCTATAATTTTGTATATCTTGCTAACTCCTTTCTCCCTCCCTTCCCTTACTGCCCCTTGTCTCTTAAATGCAGGTATAGAGACAGTGTATATATATTAGGCAGACCCCAGTTTACCCAGGGCCAAATTATGTGATTATCCCAGCCAGTCTGCTGTAGTAGCTTTTCTGTCATTTTTTAAATTTCCTCTACTCTTTCTCAGTGATGCAGACTACCAATATCTAAGATACAGTGTCCTTAAAACTCACCCCCAGTTCCCCTCACCTTATTATCTATCCATGGCAAAACGTTCCCACCAACCTACGGCTCACTGCCCCACTTTCTTTGCATTGGAACCCTTCCATGAAGCTCCCTAGTCTTCTCTTCCTCCCCATTTCTTCATATAGTTGATTCCCTGGCTCCATCACTGATGCTGATGACTGTAATTCATTAAATCTCCTATCCTTAGGCCTACTCTGTCTCACCAAATAACAGCTAAACTCTGATTTCTAGGTGGGGTGGGTTCCCTTCCTGCTGTGAGGAAGAAATGTATTCTTGACATTCCGAATCTGTCATTTTCCTATGGATAGACATCTCAACTGATTGGGAACCTAAGCACTGTTTTATAAAATCTTTCTTCTGAAAATATTCATTCTGAGTTCCAAAAATTGACTCTTTAAGCTGTTTATCTTAATCTTTTGTTTTCTGATTAATAGTGTCATTGGACACAAAATCATGACTTTTTGTCATCTTTACATCATTTTAGTTTAACACATATTTTATGGTGTTGTACACGCTTTTAAAAAATGGTTTAATGAAAGCACTAAGCCATCTAATGAAACACGCAAAACATCTTGATAATAGGGAAGCAGTAGTCTAGGTGTCATAAACTATCAGGTTTTGCATCTAGGTTTTATGAAAACCTATATGACTGACAGTAAGTATTTTTAGTTTAACCAATCTGTGCCATAATTTATTTCTCTTTAAAGTGGAGATATTTTATTCATCAGAGAATATTAACTAATGTAGTAACACCATTATAGGGTAACTTTTCACTGAGAAAGAGCTAATGAAAAGACTCTGACATATTTTGGATACATATTCCTAATCAAAAGTTCTTCTTAGGTCATATGTATGCTCTTAAAAATGAATTGGAGGGAAGAAGTAGTATCTTCTAAGCTTATCTCCAGCCACTTCCCTTCTATATTCTTTTCCTGTATCATCATCAGCACAGCTAGGATTATATTCAGAACACTTAGGCTTTTAATAAATATTTGCTGATTGAATAAAAATATTTTGAGTCATTAAATATATAAAGGATGTATTTTAAGAAAGTTTTTATTTTTCCATTTATTTTATCAGGGGCACACAAAGAAAATGAATTTTTTCAAAGTTGGAAAATATTTTACATTGGTGGACATGCCAGGTTATGGCTATAGAGCTCCCGAAGATTTTGTTGACATGGTAGAGACCTATCTAAAAGAACGAAGGAAGTAAGGAAAATGTTTTTTTATAAATTTAATCCAAAAGCATGTTTTCATTAATGGAACATTCTTCACATTATGACTCCATATTATCAAGTGACTTCTTTTAGAAAGTCCATTTTATTCTCATGATATTCTACAATACAATATTTAGGGCCAAGGTATGTACTGCTTGCTTAATTTTTTCTTGTAGATTAGCTTAATCTTAAATTCAACAGTTTTTCTAAATTAAGAGTATAAATGTATTTCAGCAGAGTTCATTAATTTTCTTATGTCAAACTTGTGAGTGGCTAATTTTGAAAATAAAAATTATTGGTTAATGTGGTATTTACTAAATTTAAATAAACCTCAGTACATTTTAAAAATACCTCTGATATCACACCCTCTGTAAATGGTATCTTTATTGTCTCCATAGGTAGTCAAATGGCAGTTCTATGTTTCAAGCATTGCACAACATACAGAAAAATTAAATTTTTGAAATATAAAAAAGTATCTACAAGTATCTTGCTTGTTGTAGCTTTACACAGAAACTAAGATGAAATATTTACACACAAAAAATACAAAACATAATGTCTCTGGTTTCTCTTATCTGTTACTCTTAATATTTGAGAATTTAGACATTTTTGTGATAACTTATAGTTAATTGGGTTCATGTCTCTTTCCCCACTAGAGTTCAAGCTTTTTTTTTTTTTTTTTTTTTTTCATTTATTTGTCAGAGAGAGAGAGAGAGCACAAGCAGGGGGAACTGCAGGCAGAGCAGGCAGAGGGAGAAGCAGGCTCCCCGCCGAGCAAGGAGCCCAATGCGGAACTCAATCCCAGGACCCTGGGATCATGCCCTGAGCCAAAGGCAGACGTTTAACGGGCTGAGCCGCCCAGGTGTCCCTAGAGTTCAAGCTTTTAAAGGAAGGGACTCACTCATCTTTGTGTCCAGCCCTAGGCAGAAGATCTTAGGTCCAATACTTAACTGTTGAAATAAATTAATATTTAGTAAATTTAGTTATTGAAAATACTGAAATTGAGATTTATTGGATTGTAGGATGAACTTCTAGTAAACTGAGAATTCCTTTTGCCTAAAAAATTTTTAAATTTTGGAGTGAAAATTATTCAAAAGAAAATTTCTCAGGATAGTGAGGGTCAGGGGGAGAAATGAATGAGTATATTTGATATTGCCATTAATTTTTATTTCTGCATTCTTATAGTTTGATGAGAACATTTTTGTTAGTGGATAGTGTTGTCGGAATTCAAAAAACCGACAGTATTGCCATAGGAATGTGTGAAGAATTTGCATTACCTTATGTGGTAAGTATTTCTTTTGAATCATGGTTGCTGTTGGAAATACCAGTTTGTGTGTATGCATGTGTACATGCTTGTGTGGGTGTGTCTTTTTAATGAGAGAGCAGGTCTTGTCTCTGCAAGAGTAGTTCTCAAATAATCTTTTTTGATTATCAGCCATTAGTAGATAAGTTCTGTGGTATTTATATTCTTTTTCTTTCTCTCAGCTTAAATTTTCAAAATTATAGTCAAAGTAAAGTATTTTTAAGCTGTTCATTTAGTGTTCCTAAGTGCTTTTCCCTTTCATTTTTTTTAATGGCAATATAAAATTTGTCTAAAACATATTAGTGGCTCTTTAACAGCAGTTTGGCATATACTACTTATATCAAAGTGTAAATGAAATTGCAACTGAAAAATTTGCTAAAGTAATTTGTAGTTTAAGAACCCTTGCAAGAAAATAGCGGGCTCCAGCACACACAGGTAAGATTTTTACATTCTTTAAGAAAACAATATTTCTTCTGGGAGTATCTTACCAGTATTTTTTTCTGTTGTTTGTCCTAGAATAGAATACAAATTAGTAGGTTGGTATCCACATTTACTTTGCTTTGTGAGTTTTCCAGATAAAATAGCACTCCAAAGTTCCTTTCTAAGGAAAAGAATCCATTGACTATAATTTGGTTTCAAAAAAAAGGAAACCACTAAAATGTAACAGTGAAGTTTAATGCAAATCAAACCATGTTACTAATCAGCTAAGTTTTTGTATTCTTCGGATTATGGAATTTTGGGGGTTTGCAAAAGCCCTGTGAAGCATAAGCTATAACTACAGTTAGTATGAGAAGCCAAAGGTTTGATTATAGTCCACATAGTAGAAAATACCCAAGAGTGCCAAACTGATTTTAAGTGATATAGTATTCCTGATTTGGCATCATAGGTACCAATTTGTAAAATTGTATATTTTCCTCAGTTTCAAAGGAAATACTACTTTCTTCTTTGGAAAGAGGTTGTGATAGAGGAATTATGTCTCTCCTTTTAAATATCAGCATATTTGCTCTTATGAGGAAAGACTCCCAATTGGAGGGACTCACAAGTCATTAGAAACCACACACTTTCTGCTTCTCGCTCCTTTTACCATTAACATTTTTTATAACTGAAAAGCCTAAATGATTAGTCAGGAAATTTAATTTTATAGAAATTCCCCAGGAAAACTGAAGGTCAAAGTTTTACTTTTTAATTGATTTTGTAATCATTCCTATAATTGTAGTGGATATAAGATACAAATAGCCTGATTTCTAGTTTGTCCTTTATATTATTGCATATAAGGCAGAACCATTTTGTAGGTCAAAAATGATTATAAGTTGGCAATTTTATATGGATCAACCTAATAAAATTATGTGTCTTAGTTAACATAAGATATATAGTGACATGAAATTTGTTTTATGTCAATTGCAAATATGGCTCAAGGGTCCTTTTCACTAGTCTTGAATCTAAGATATGTTGGCCCTGTGTAGTTAAAGCACCATTTAAACAGCAAACACGTAGTATATGCTTTATACATTGCATACATTCATTCATTTAATCTTCATGGTAACTCCTTTTGGGAATGTTGCTTTTATTTTATAGATGAAAAAATAAGTATAGAGAGATTAAGAAACTTAGAAGGATCATCTAGTTGTTATTAAACATGTATAGCTAGGGGCGCCTGGGTGATGTAGTTGGTTAAGCGTCCGACTCTTGGTTTCAGCTCAGGTCATGATCTTGGGGTTGCGGGATTGAGCCCTACATGGGGCTCCCTGCTCAGCCAGAGTCTGCTAAGGTTTCTCTCTCCCTCTCCCTCCCCACCCCACCCCCCGCCGTGCACTCATTCTCTCTCTAGAATAAATAAATCTTTAAAAACAAATTGTAGTTAAAATGTATAAAACTGTATATTAAAAAAGACTTAATTTCTAATGCTTAAGTATTTGTTTTCTTACAGATGGTATTAACAAAAATTGACAAATCTTCCAGGGGACATCTTTTAAAACAAGTGCTTCAGATCCAGAAATTTGTTGACACTGAAACACAAGGATGTTTTCCTCAGTTGTTTCCTGTAAGGTAAGAGTTGAATTATTTTATAACTTTATGTACTAACATCCTTTAGTATTATATAGTGTTTCTTAAATTGAGGTATCACTTAAAATAAGAGGAGTTTGGAAGACTATGCATTAACCATGATTTATTGGTACAACCCATCAGCACTTTTATTTTTTTCTTCCTTCTATTTTGTCTTCCTTCTGCAGGCTCTTGCTGGATCTTCCCTGCAGCCTAGCTCAATCCTAGATCTCAGCAGAAGTGAAAACTTTTTACTTTTTAAAATCAGCTAAATAACAGCCACAATAAAGATACTACCATGCTTTTCTCAATTTCCAAGAAAAACAAATTATCTTTATAGTAGAAAGCTCATTCAGGATGTGAGGGATAAAAATTTTTCCTTAAAAGGACCAAATATAAAGAAATGCTTCTTATAAGTTAGAATTAAACATTGGTAGAGATAGAATGGTTATTTCTAGAGCTGGCAATTTTGAGATATTTGATAGAGTTTAGTGATGAAACATGAGTCTATACTTTTAGCTTATACCTTGGATATGGTAAGTACCTTGTACTAGAGCAGAAATATAGTGCCATTCCCATAGGATTTTCTTACTCTAACTTCTTTGAGGAAAGCAATATGGTATTTGCTATGAGAAATAATTAAACCAAGTAACAGTTGTATATGAAACTATCCCCTAATCAGTCATTCAAGGTCCTACCAATCCAGATCACATTTAAATTGTTTGTAATTATGAACATGCCTGTCAGAATCCTTCTTTCAGTCATTCCTACAAAATGCTCTTCTCCCTTGACTTTCATTCAAGTATTTATCCTGTTCATTTGTCTGTGTTCCATTTATATATTGGAGACTCCTAGGGGCAGGAATGAAATCCTACTTCTTAGAGCCCTGAGCATTGTCATGGAAGAATAGCTGTTTCTTTTAACTGTTTAATAAGAAGGAAGTGAGACCATCACTAAAAATGCAGCACAAACATAAGATGGACAGAGGACTGTGGCTTAACAGCAGCATTTATTGGGGAAAAATTAATCTTTAGTTGACTATAAGCTGAATTTGAATTAACAGTTTAATGGGGCTGGGGAAAAACTGACAATGTTTTCTTGACCTACATTAATAGAATTATAGTGTTCCAAAAAAGGGAATGATCTAGCAGTAGTTCCACACAGCTTTGAGCCACATGCCATCAGATCAATCAGGTTAGACGGTGGCTCGACATTAAGAACAACTAGAGCTATCTGAAAACAGATGGTCTTGGGAAAGGTTACATCATTCATAATACTTACCTGGTCCTCACAGTAAACATCCCTATTTCCAGCTACGGTTATAGGTCAAGGAAATGAAATAAGTTGCAGAGAGGTATTTGTTTAAATAGAAAGAGCATGGGCTTTGGGGTCAGATGGCCTTGATTTTGCATGGTTCTTCTACTTCTTGGCTATAGATTTTAAAGCAACTTTTTTCATTTTCTGTGTCTGTTTTCTCACTAGTAAAAATATGATTGTTAGAAGGATCAAATAAAATGGATGTACACACAGACACATCATAAATGTTAGCTTCCTTTCTTGCCAAGTCAGTAAGTAGCAGGGGTAGGCCAACAACCCAGAGTATCAGATTTTCAGTACTTTTTAAAGATATTCCCTTCTTTAGATATGTCAGCGTTCTCTGCTGTATGACCCTGGAATCACTGCTGCCATTGTACTTGCCATAAGTGACCAAGGCACTTGAGATGCAGGAGCCTGGTGACTTTCAAGAACTTCAGCATTCATTGTATATAGTGACCACATACAGGAATTTGGCAGACTGGACTTTGTAGCTCTCAAAACCCAATTCAGAAAGTAGAGTTATATACATTCCTTGGCTTTATGTGCATGACCAAGTACTAGTCTGTCCCTCCAGAAAGAAGTTTGGCCTATTCATGAAATAATTATGATAAAATAAGGTTTTATTTCCTTCTCTTCCTATGATCCTTATAGGAGAAAGGTGGAAGTATAGTCCAGCAAGCTTTGGCCTTTAAGGCTTGGCAAAAGTTAAATGCTGAACTTCATGTCAGAACTCTGCCCCAGCTGAGTAGAGATGTGTAAATGGTGAAAAGCCCCTAAAAATTGATGCTGGGATCAGTCTGTCTTTATAACTGTCATGGGAGAAATATGTAAGTAGGTACAGTATAATTGCTTTTTATATAGTGGAATTCCAAGCAAAGACAATGGACTCTGTTGGACAATAAGGACTCTATTGGACAATGGACAATGGACAATAAGGACAAAATCACATTACAACATTGACAGAAATGTTGCAAATGAGTTCAAGATGCCATAATTAATGTGTGGACAATCCAACTTGTATTTCTCCTTTAAACTATGTAACTTCACTTATAACCCAGAAATCATTATGGGCTGTTCTCAAGCAAGCAGCTTTGGTCAAAAAGTCTAAAATGCTGTATTTTATCAAGAAGGGAATTAGGAGTACAGCAGAAAATATTTTACCTGTTTTATATGCAGGTATATATGATTCTTGTATCCATAAAAATCATAGTGTATTCATAAAAGTCCATGTAGCCTGAGAAACCATGTGGTCACTTCCAGCTGACAAATGGATGGATGCATATGGATGGATATAGTAAGATGAGTAGACAATAATAGACACAATAATGGTGATGATGATTTTTTTAAATGATGAAAAAAGGTCTAAATTATCAAGGTTGTTGAATCTTTGTCGCAAGAAGAATAAACTAAAGAAATCAAAACTTTTAGTCTAGGAAATAAAATGCAAAATAGAAGATATTCCAATAGCATTTTTCACAGAAACAGAACAGTCTTAAAATTTGTATGGAACTACCAAAGACCACAAATAACCAAAGCAATCTTGAGAAAGAACAAAGCTGAAGGTATCATGGTCCCTGATTTCAAACAATATATTATAAAGTTAACAGTAATCAAAAAGGTATGGTACTGGCATTAAAAAAAGACACATAGATCAATGGAACAGAATAGAGAGGGCAGAAATAATCCCACACATATATGGTCACTATGACAAAGAAGCCAAGAATACACATTCGGAAGAGGGCAGTGTCTTCAATATCTGGTGTTGGCAAAACAGGAAAGCTACATGCAAAAGAATGAAACTTAGATTACTGTCTTACATTATACATAAAAATTAACTCAAAATGGATTAAGGACTGGAATGTAAGGCCTGAAGCTATAAAACTCCTAGAAGAAAACATAGGCCCTTAACATCAGACTTGGCAATGATTTTTTGGAGTTGACACCAAAAGCGAAGGCAACAATAGCAAAAATAAACACAAGGGACTACAGTGAATTGTAAAAAAGCTTCTGCACAGCAAAGGAAACCACACAAAATGAATAGGCAACTTCCTGAATGAAAGTATTTGCAAATCATGTATCTGATAGGGGCTAATATCTGAAATACATAACTCCTACAACTCAATAGCAAAAAAAAAAAATGATTAAAAAATGGGCAGAGGATCTGAATAGACATTTTTCTGAAGAATGCACACACATGGCCAACAGAAAAAGATGAAAACATGAAAAGATGCTTAGCATCACTAACCATCAGGGAAATGCAAATCAAAACCACCACAATGAGATTACCACCTCACACCTATTGGAATGGCTATTATCAAAAAGGCAAAAAAAAAAAAAAAGCAAGAAATAACTAGCATTGGTGAGAATGTGGAGAAAAGGGAACCCTTGTACACGGTTGGGAATGAAATTAGTGCAGACTCTATGGAAAAGTATGAGGTTCTTCAAAAAATTGAAAATAGAACTACCATATGATCCCAAAATACCACTTACAAGTATTTATCTGAAGAAAACAAAAACTGATTTAAAAAGATACCTGCACCCCCACATTCACTGCAGCATTATTTACAATAGCCAAGATATGGAAACAGCCTAACTGTCCATTGATAGATGAATGGACGAAGAAAATGTGGATATATGTATACACAATGGAATACAATTCAGCCATAAGAAAGAATGAAATATTGCCATTTGTGACAACATGGGTGGATTTTGAGGGGATTATACTGAATGAAATAAGCAGAAAAGACAAATACCATATGATCTCACTTATATGTGGAATTTGAAAAACAACAAAAAAGCAAAATCATAGATACAGAGATTGGTGGTGGTTAGAGGTGGAGGTTGGGGGATAGGAGATATGGGTGATGGGGATCAAAAGGTACAAACTTCCAGTTATAAAATAATCAAGTCATTGAGATATACAGCATGGTGACAATTATACTGTATTGCATATTTGAAAGTTGCTGAGAGCAGATCTTAAAAGTCCTCATCACAAGAAAAGGAAAAATTATAATTATGCCTGATGACAGATGTTAACTAGACTTTACTGCTATCATTTTACAATGTATACAAGTATCTAATCATTATGTTGTACAACTGAAGCTAATGTTATGTGTCAATTATACCTCAATTTAAAAAAAAAAAAACTTAGTCTGGTTAATAAAAGGCAAAGTAGTAGATTTGGTGAAATTTTTGGGATCCTGAAGGAAATTGATCAGATAATGTGGATCATCAGATTTCGAATACAAGAGGCTGACGGAAGAGGAAAGGTAGAACAAATTAAGACATTCAGTTTCATACGTGGAACTCAAGAGTTTTTAAGCAGTTTTTAAGTTAGATGAATTCAGATATGTTACTATATCTGAAGTAAAGAAGAAAATTTTTCTTTTCTTTTCACAGTTCTGTGACCTATTCTGGAATCCATCTGTTGAGATGCTTTATAGCGAATATAACAGGAAATCTTAAGACTAATGGCCTCTAGTTTAGCTGAAGATTCAAAATTCTTTTTGCCAACTGGAGTTGAACATATAGAATTTCAACTTTGTTTTAAATATTGTGTATCTATAATTTCCAGAAGGATAATTTCATCTTTAAAACCTGCATCTTCCCAAAGCAAGAATGAATTTGTGCTGGGGAAAAAAAAAGTTTATAAATAAATTATCCAGTTCATTAGAACAGATACTGTTCCTATTTTAACAGTGTTTCTATTTTAACATATTGACAAACAAGAGCATATAGAAGTCCATTATGTGAAAACCTATTACTATGTAGAGAAGGATTTGCCCTGTTTTTATTGGGCTTTTGTCTTTTAAAGACAATGTCTATTATGTATATTTAAGGATTAAAATGGACTAGGTAAAAAAAGGGGCTACTTTTCTGTTAAGCATTTATAGGTAGATGGAAGATAAATGCTTCTCTCTATGCCTATAATTTATCTTTTTTTCTGAGTCCTTATTTGAATATAAAAAAAAATATTCTTGATAAAAGTTCAGTCAGTCCATGCTGGAAACATCAGTCATTTCAGACTGGGATCATTCACCTTCAAGTGAACACAGGATTTAGAATCAGAAGACCAGAATTTAAGTTCCAGTTCTAATATTTATTATATTGGGTCTTGGGCAAATTACTTGATTTCTCTGCCCTTCATTTATAACTCACAAAGCTTATAGAAGTTAAAATAGTATTGTATGTGTAAAAGATATCTGTATACTCTATATATTTGTAAAGTGAAACCAACCAAGAATACAGCAAAATTCAGATTTATCACAGAAAACCTCTTGTCATAGAGGTGGTAACATTTTCTCTAGTGAAAGACAAAAACCAAGAACTAGTTTTAAGTGAGAACACTGATATTTGCAAAAAGCAGAAAAAGTTGATGGACCAGTTTAGAATTGTACAATAAGATTCAGAATGGAAAGATAAAGCCTTACTTTGACCTAAAGTTAACAGAAAAGATTTTTATGAAGATGCTACTGACCTATTCATGTAAGTGGCTTAGCTTTTCAAAGTGAGGCTGAATACTAAAAAATTATAGCAGTAGCCCTGGATAAAAACTTAAGGCTGTAAAACAAGTTTGTGGCTTTTTTAGGGAATTCGATTATGTTTCCAGCTTTATAGTTGATAGCCTTGGTCTATTCTAACCAGCAGTGTTTTAAAAAAGAAACAAAAAACTTTATGTAGGTATTCACAAAGTAAAATATATGGTTACAATAGACTAATCTTAGAAGTCATCATTTTGCTTGCCAGTGGTACTTTACTGCTTGTCTTAGCCGTGGTTCTTCTCAGAGCAGAGCCCAAAACAGAAGTTTGCATGCAGTCGTTTATTTGGGAAGTGATCCCAGGGTACAGGAGTGATGGAGAAAGGAAACAGAAGAAAGGAAAGTCAATCAAGGATGCAGGAGTTGGACATCACATAGGTACTAGTCTTGATCTTGAGGGACTTTCTGGGGAGCCTTAGGAAATGTGCCTCTGAGTTGTCTTTGAAGTAGGGAGAAGGTGGCTCCACACTTCTTCCAGCTTGTGCATGCCTAAGTGCCAAGCAGTTCCTGCAACTTGTCAGAAGGAGCAGGAAGAGAGAGGTCTTTGGAACAGGAGGCAAAGTGCAGTTGTCCACTCCTATTGGAAACTGGTTGCTACAGGTGTGGCTGAACTAAGGCCAAGAGGATTTGGCATGGGAGGTCTCACCACAGTGCTCTTATGAATGACCTGAGTGTTTTAATGCTACCAGAGCAGTAAAATTGGTATTCACGATGATGACACTAACAGTTTTTTTTTCTTTTTTGGTGGGGGGGAGGGGGCGCAGAGGGAGAGGGAAAAAAAAGAGAACCTTAAGCAGTTTCCACATTCAGCTCGGAACCCACTGTGGGGCTCAATCTCACAACCCTGAGATAATGACCTGAGCTGAAATCAAGAATTGCATGCTTAACCAACTGAGCCACCCAGGCTATTTATTAAGGACTTTGAAGTAAATCAGGATGTTTAGCAAGGTTTCAGAAAGAAGGAAGCCATGCCCTGGCTGTGTTTATCAGTCTCTTCAGAAGGTAATCTGCATTTTAAACAACCCACCAAGTGATTCTCAAAACAGCCTAAGGTATCAGAACCACCAGTATAGATAAGTGGGAAAATCATGCAACTCTTGATTTCAGCTCAGGTCATTATCTCAGAAAGAACAAGGCCAGATAAAGAATGGAACGGAAACAGATTAAGGATGGCCAAGGGAAACAAGGGTGCAGTATATACTGGGGCACTGTTTTATTTTTCTATATATCTACATATAACATAAAACTTAAGGCTACAACCTTCTTAACAAATAGAAGCTTACTGACCTAATTCTAGTAAACTAGAATATTTGAAAATATGTAAGATTTACCCTCTGAGCAATGGTACAAACAATATAAAAATACCAGATGACAGCATCAGCATTAAATTATAGATTTAATGTGTGGCCTCACTCCTGGGTCTGTTTTGTATCAACTAAGCTATATTTTTTTATTTAACTTTATCTGCTTCTACTTTGTTATCCTGTTTGTGTATCATGTATAACCACATGTCACCTTACATCCTTTCTGGAAAAAAAGTTTATTTGGAATCAGTCACTAGCACCCAAATAAGTAAACCAGAAAAAAACCCAAAAGCTTTTGGAGAACTCCAAAAGCATTTTAATATGCCCTCCTGTGAGATAAGGTAAACAAATGAAGTGAAATATGGTAGTGACCAGTCCCTGAGAATACAGTTAGTGGCAAAACTTTTTAGATCCTTGTGATGATCAATTCTAATTTATAATCAAGACAGCACAACCAGGAGAAGCTACAAATCTTGGTTTTTGGAGATGAGTTTATCTACAATGGAGCCAGTTAAGACCAAAGTGACCTTTTAAGCACTCCTTGATACTTCCAACCCCACCTGACTCCCCATATACCCTAAGACACAGTAGGTTTTTATAAACCTAATTACTCAGTTCTTAATTCCCTGGTAAATCATAAAATTATTCTGTTTTTCAGGGACAGCTGTTTTACAGCTTTAATCAAGGAATTATATCTGCTTTTCAAGGACAGGATATGGTAGATTTTTTTCATCTTAACACCTGGTACAAAGTCAAACTCAAAATCTGACTATTTAATATTCAAATACTTGTCAGTTAAATGACACAGAGCTACTATAAATGTTTATTGAACTGAAATGAACTGCCGTACAATGTCACACTAAGGTAGCTCATCTCTGAGTCCAAGTGGTACTTCCAAGTCTTTCCAGATTTTTTTTCAGCAGTTCCATGTAAAACAACAGGACACTGGACCAGTTTGTTAAGCACTTAAATGTCTCACAAATGAGCATCTAAACTCCCATTTGAGCAAAAATATCATCAATGTCATCTGTCTCCTTAATGGTTCCTGATGTATTATGTTTGTTCATTTGCATCACTGTCCATGAATCAGTTTCATTTTCATTGCTTCCTGTAAGGTTTTCATGAATTTGTTTCTCTTTAGTTTGTATGACAGGATTTGAAACTCTGCTACTCAAGAAGTGATTACTGTTAGGGTAGAGATCAGTTCTATGAACTGTACAGTGCGAGAGTCTCCATTTACTACTATCTGTAGCATTCTGAGTCCCTTGAGGGGATGGCTGAATTGCCTCTGAAAGAGTCAACTGCAACTTTCTCTGTAGTTTCCTCTGTTCCAGTAAAAATCTATTCTGAGATCTTCTTCGGCTCACATGATGCTTTGAAGTTTTGATTCCTGAGCCACGAAGGAGGCAGTTGCAAATAGATGTTTTTATGCATTCTAGTTTCTTCGGCAAACTTTAAAGGACAAGAGAAAGGAAAAATCTGGGATTAAGACACAAAGACATTTTCAAAAACTTTTGTCTCCTTTTTACCAACTCCCAAAAGAAAAGTACACAATTTATTTACAAGTCCTATGCCTGTGTACAACCCCAGAATTATCACAAGAAATACGAAAATAGGAGCTTCAACCCAAATCTGTGTTTTCAGAGCAGAGCTTCCCTTTGATTCAGACTAGCCAAGTATGTCCCCATTATGTTCCCAAAGTAAAGTACCTCCTACAACTGCCTGGCAAGGTAGCTGAATGGTGAGATACCTGCACACTTTAGTGTCAGAGTCTCTCCCTGATAACCGCTAAACTGTCCGTAGTGTAATAGGAGTGGACTGGGGAAAGGATATATCACAAAGAGAACCATCTGCCTGGATGCATTAATCCATATCTGGATAAACAACTTCATGTTTATCAGGGAGGGAACAAAGGAAAAGGAATCAAGGTGAGGGAGGGAGTTTATCTAAGAATGAGAAGACAGAGCTTCTGGCATAGACCACCTGACACCTTGGGCTGCCCTAATCGTGATTCATATATCTTCCTCAAGTGTGGGAATTCAGAACTCAAACAGCTGATCATTTTAGGTGTTTTGCTTCTGAATAAGGTATACTGCGACAAGGTACATCAGTACCTTGCTAACTGCCTCACTGTTTGTGATAGATTTCAAAAGATTTGCATGGGCCTGTAACTTCTACCCCCTCACTCTCCCCTTTTCCTTTTTAAATAAATACATAACTTTGAGGAAACTCCTTTATAATGTAGTAATTCAAGATCAGTTTCATACCCTTTTCTTGTTTACTCTAAGTGGTGATTTTTAAGTGGGGAGAGGGTAAGTGTACCTCCTAACTGAAATGGAAATAGAAAAAAATGAAAACAGAAGAATCAGAGGATCTGAATTGAATTCTGGATCTCCAGCTGTAACAATCTGAGCAAAATTCCCTATGTCCTCAGCTACAAAATGGGAATAATACTGCCTACCTCAGAGAGTTATCATGGACATTAAGCAAATTTAAAATGTACTGTAAGTATAACATATTGAAACAGCAAAACAGGGCAGTACGAAAGAACAGTTATTTTTGTGGGGAAGGGAATAATGGTTTAACCAAATACCACTTTGTTACCCTTCTCACTAACTCTTAATTATTGTCATCTTTGTCTCATCTACCCCTTTTCCATCTTGGGCTGAGTTCCCACCCTAGAATAGTTCCTCTTTAGATGGCTACAGGTCTTTAAAGGACCCTAATGTAGAAACCCTTCCAACAATTCATTTCTTAGGAATACTTAACTTCTCCCACAACTCTTAATCAAAACTTGTTTTTGTTGATCTTTACAGCCATTTGTGTCTAAAATTGTTACCATGGGCATCTATTAGTTTCTCAATAAAAATATAAAACCCTGAAGTGTCTAACTTCATTGTAATGCTTCAAGTAATACTGCTTCACAAAGAAAACCATCCTTAAGCAGTTCTGTGAATCTAAGAATCAGAGGAAAAGGAAGAAATCAATACATGGGGAGTCTGGCACCCATGAACAAACATTACTTGACCCTAAGCCCAGAGTCTGGTGTGTGTCCTTGTAAAAGGCAGACCCTTCTGCTCTCACACCCTCATCCTGCTGCCCTGAAGCTGTGGGCAGACTGGCTGTCTCTCCTACTAGAGCAAGAGTGAAGAGTTAGTGCTCCATGAGGATTAAGTCTTACACAATGTATCCCCAGGCTTAGCGTACCACAAACACTCCTAAGGCTTTCTGAAGGAACAAATGGAATGGTGAAGAACATAAATGAATAAATCCAATTAACCAAGTTAACTTTCTTCTTCCCAGTGATACAGCTGTGCCCAACAAAGGCAAACAAAATTGCAGTTTGAATAGATCCTTCTTTTAGCCACCCTAGGGCTACTGGCCATCCCATTTTTTAAAAAGCTGACTTGTATATACTTTTGCCCTATACAACAGAAAAAGTAAAGGAATATAATTCTTATTATATACCTACCTATAGCCTTGAGCTTCCACATGTTTAAGCCGGTTACTTTTAAGAAGTTTGTTACCCAGAAAGGAGGCCTGAGCCTTGAGTTTTTTGCTCCTGCACCACAAAATTGCTGTTTGAATTTCTTCAGAAAGTTGAGTGAAACTCTCAGCCTCTCGAAATCTTTGCACAAAACTTTTGGCACAGGGAGTTCCTGTTGCTTTCTGAGAAGAACGTTTGGTTGCCTTTACTTTGGACTGAGAACATTTAAATTTGGTCTCCTGAAACATGGAAAGGTGAGAAAAATATATTGGATTTGGTACTGATGTATAAATATATAACAACAGAAAAGTTGACTCACTGACTATGAAAAGTAGAAAATGTCTTTTTAAAAGAAAGGTTTTTTAAAGCTCACTGTACTTTCCTTTGTATTAAAAAACTTAACAAGAAGCCATCAGAGAGGAGGACAAACCATGAGAGACTCTTAACTATAGGAAACAAACAGGGTTGCTGGAGGGGAGAGGGGTGGGCATTAAGAAGGGCATGTGATGTGATGAGCCCTGGGTGTTATACGCAACTGATGAATTACTGAACTCTACATCTGAAACTAATGTTGGCTAATTGAATTTAAATTTAAAAAAAACAAAACCTAATTTTTTATCCACCGCTCCTAACACAAGATTTTTTTTACCCCCTCTATGCAACAACAGATCCCATCTATAACTGAATTCAGATGGGAAACATAAATATTCTAACAAAGATCTATTTAATCTATACATAAGAATGAAACTCTACATGAATAAATACTGGTCAAAGTCTATCTGGTAGAGGAAAAAAAAATGGCTGACGAGCCCTTTTCCTTGATACTACTAGACTACCACAAATTTGTTTTTCACTTATTTCCATACCCTGAGTTTCCCTCCTCAGTGATAGGTCATAAATGTTACTGAAAACACATGAAGACAGGGATGATGCTGAATGTATGTTAAAAATGCTTAACTGAGCAACACTTCTAATTCAACCATCTTTTGATGTGGCACCTTTGTCTCTTCAACCCCATCCTTCTATGTCAAGTAGAGTCTGAATTGTAGCAGCTTTCATTGTTTACGAAAATATGCCACTTACTAGGTCTGCTTTCATCCTTCATTCAAAACTTCTTCCAAATTTCTTGTTTCAAGAAAAACATTAAAAAGTAGTAGAAAATATAAAAGTAGAGACCTATCAATACTTTGCATTGGTGATCAGTAAAAGAAATTTGACCTTAGAAGCAAGCTGAGCATGTTAGTGCTAATTGCTAAAACTGTGGTAGTGATTAGTCATGAACAAGGGCTGCTGACCAATCAACCAGCTTTAAAACCAGCTCACCCAGGAACAGCTGGATGGACTGCAGAACTTTCAAGGGTCAGAGAACCATAGTTCTTGAGACAGAGTTGACAAAACAATTTGGGGGATTGATATAATGGTAAAGAACACAGACTGTGAGGGGCCCCTGGGTGGCTCAGATGGTTAAGCGTCTGCCTTCGGCTCAGGTCATGATCCCAGGGTCCTGGGATCGAGTCCCGCATCGGGCTCCCTGCTCCTTGGTAGCCTGCTTCTCCCTCTGCTTCTCTCTCTCTCTCTCCCTCCCACTCTCTCCCTCTGTCTCTCATGAATAAATAAATAAAATCTTAAAAAAATAAATAAATAAAATCTAAAAAAAAAAAAAAAACACAGACTGTGAAACCAGACTGCCTGTGTTCAAATCCCAGCACTGCCCTGTACTTGTGGTGTGTCCTGAGCAAGTTCCTTGTCCTTTCTAGGCCTCAATTTTTCTCATCTGAACTATGGAAACAGTAATAATAGCACCAACCTCACAGGGCTTTTGCAAGGATTGTAGGAATTAACACACATAAAGCATTTCAAAAGTAAATGCAATATCTGTATTAGCTATTATTAGGACGATGATGATGATTCCTCCCTCCAGAACTCATAAATTGGATAGAATATAAATCCAAGCTAGAATCCCTGTAAACATTCAAGAAAGAACTTTGACTTAACAGAAATGATTAAGAATTCTTAAATAGAAAAGAAGAAGTAATCCATGCAGGAAACCAGGAGAAAACAATCTGAGAAGGACAGATGGTAACAGAAGTCAAGTAATTACCACATCAAAGTGGGTGACACTCATGTACTTTACTTATCTGTTGCTAGGTCCAGAACAGAATTTAGACACTGACTAAAAGGAATCATGTTAAAGCTTGAAGCCTAACCGGGAAAGAAAGAGAAGCCTCATGACAAAAGATGAGGATGACAGTAACAATGATAACAGCTAATAACATCCGACCACAGTTAAATGCTTACCATACTCCAGACTCTGTGCCAAAGACTACATGCATGAAAACTGCATAACCCTATGGGGGGCATACTATATTAGAAAAAAGAGGTGTGGGCAGGTCAAGAAACTTAAGGTCACACAGCTAGTACCAACTAAAGCCAGGACTCAAACCATTTCTGACTACATGCTCATACTCTTTACTTTTTAAGATTTTATGCATTTATTTGAGAGAGTGAGAGAGCAAGCGAGCATGAGCTGGGGGCTGAAGCAGAGAGGGAAGGAGAGGGACAAGCAGATTCCACACTGAGCACAGAGCTTATGCGGCGCTTAATCCCAGGACCCCGAGATCATGACCTGAGGCAAAATCAAGAGTCAGACGCTCAACTGACTGAGCAACCCAGGCACCCCCAAAGCTCATACTGTTAATACAATCCGCACCTACAATGGATCCTAGGGACGCTTTAAAATTCTAGTGAAACTGAGTAAGATGTTTTTGAAGGCATTCTCTAACCCGAATTTATTGGATGCACTCAGTCCCTTGGGAGTGCCTCTATTCATTCAGAAGCATAGGCTGAAAACTAAGGTGGCATTATGCTGAGAGCTGGGGATAAAAACAGAGATTCAATCTTTGCCCTAGGCAAATGGCATCTACTCTACAAATTAGCAGAAATCATAAGCCATAGTAATATAAGCCAGACAAACCTGAATAGCTTTGTGTTTCAGCTGTTTGCAGAAAGCTCTCACATCAAATTCTGATGACTTTTCTGTAGAGATGGAGAGACCACAGATACAAAAACTTAGGCATACCATTTTCAAATCAATGAATTCTTAAGTATATGACATTTCTTGCCAAATTACTAGAAAAGAAATAAAGGGAATTATAAGAGTTTGCTATATAAAAGCAAATTACCTTTGAAGATTCTCTTATTCTGTACGGGCTGTCCAAGATCCACATTATTCTGGGTATTGATCCTCATTTGTTTAGCTTTTTTGGAAATTCTGAGTACAGTTTCTTTGCTAGACCTTGGTGATTGCTCTTTTGTTAAAAACAGTTTATTTAACAATTTAGTTACTCCTTTAGCTGCAAAAGCTGTAGGCACTTTTTTCTTAAAAACTTCAAAATAGGGCTGTCCTAAAAATTCAGCAATATCAGAGGGAAAAGTAAAATCTTTGAAGTAAGGCAGTGGTTGAATCCTAGAGACCTCTTGAAGCAATCTGAACAATGGCTCATATAAAGAAGTCAGCCTTTTCAAAACACCTTTATAGAGAACCCTAGAAAAAGAGAGGAGGTCATGAATTAGCCAGTAATTATAATTTGCAGATTATTTAATAACCACAACAGATTCAAAGCTGAAAATAAATGTCTATCTGTCTGCCACTATAGATAAAAAAGGCTCTAGCGCGGGCGCCCAGGTGGCTCAGTTGGTTAAGCGACTGCCTTCGGCTCAGGTCATGATCCCGGAGTCCTAGGATCGAGTCTCGCATGGGGCTCCCCGCTCAGCGGGGAGTCTGCTTCTCCCTCTGACCCTCCCCCTCTCCTGCTCTCTCTCTCTCATTCTTTCTCTCTCAAATAAATAAATAAAAATCTTTAAAAAAAAAACTTTATTAAAAAAAAATGCTCTAGCACATATTTGTGAAGAGCCAGATTAGTCCAGCCCAAACAGAAAAATCCAAGTACAAAATGTTACTAAAACTAAATAAAGTACTCCACAGGAAGATGTCTCAAGGATATGCATCAATATCTTATGTATAAGGTTTTAGCTACATGGTGAGATTTTAGGCAGGTTTCAGGTTCTGCACATCTTCTCTGTTCTTTTGGAATGTCTTAAAATAAGCATGTAATATTGTTATAATCAGCAAAAAATAAAGCTATTTTCATTCCAGAAAAGAATAATATGTGAGCTGTTAGTTAGTAATTCTAATGTTATCTCTAAGAATAAACAGAATAAACAAGATGATTGGAAATAGTACTTGAGAGACCCAGGATAAGACATCAAAGACCTAACCATCAATACTTAGGTTCCCAATCCACCCCAAGTAAACTCCAATCAACTGAAGAAATGGAACCCCTGCACCATCAGCATCCCATGGGAAAACAAATATGAAAACCTAGGCTGAGTTAGATGAAAAAGAAATGATGGACTTCAAAGGTACATACATACATACCATAACCTGCTCACCAGCCCAACCATCACAAGGTTTAAAATAATGAATTCTTGTAAGCCAAGGTGTTTCACAGTCAAGCTGGAGAATCAAATTAAAGTTGGAAAACAAAACCAAAGTAATTTGGATTTTACAAGTTACATTTATGAAAGAAACAGATGGGAAACAATTTTCTTGAAGAAATTAAAGCTTTAAAACATTCTATTTCAATCATGGAAACAAAGTAATACACACTCTGCTAGAGTTCTCATTAGTTAGCTTCTATGATTAAGAATTTCTGTCAGTGCCCTTAGGATAATACATGCTAGATGGAGACCAGCAGTCTCTGGCAATGGCTGTATCAGGCAATTCCTAGGAAAAGGAGGCCAAGAAGCAAAATTTTAAGAATACGTTATAACTTTTACAAATCTCCTAGCTTTCAAACAGTAATACTATTAAATATATCCAAACAATTCCAATTCAGAGGAAAGCATTTCAGTTGATCAAGGATACAGAAATGTCTTGCAGCAACAGTCCAAGAAGCGAAGTAACAACTTGCAGGCTCCCAAAATCTTCATGAGCACCAGCTCAACCACCGGTTGGCTGGGAATGACACATGCTTTGGTAGTTACAGGCTGGTTTTCACTTCAAAAATGGAAAAGAATGTTATTTTCATTCTTAAAGTTCATTACTTATAAAGCACTTACACAGCAGTTTTCAAGCACTCCAGATGAGCTGGAAGCCCAATCTGAAGTAGTTATGTTCAATAATAATTCGCTGGAGTTGATAGACAACAATGTTTCAATATAATCTATCTTGACCCAGATTTCAGTGTCATGCCAGTCCCTCCAAGCCAACAGAGGAAAGACTATCACAAATACCAGGTGCCCCTTATTAAAACAAAATTTGTAAAGCTCCTCAGTTGGGTTATATCCCAACACCAGGCAAAGAAAAGTCCAAAGGGAGATCACATTGAAGAGCATGAGTTCCCAGCCCACCACACAACCCATCACAAAGCAACTGGACCACTTACTTGGAAGAAAACAACTCAGACAGATGTTGAATTGAACCCTCCAAATCCATGTTTTTCAAACGTTTTAAACATTGTTCAACCTGAGAGAGGGAAGAGCAGCTCAAATTCATATAATACAGACATGGCCACTGATAGGACCAGGAAAGCAAAGAAATGCAAAAGTTCAAAGTATGGAAATACACTCAACACAAGGGAATACCTCTGTTTTAGGGTAAAGTAATCTGTAGCTCAAAGGCAATTGCCCCTCCTTAAAGATTTGAAATTAACCCAGCCAAACAAATTTCTCAAATCAGGTTATAACTAGGAATTTACTATATGTCAGGATGTGCTTGATGCTATAAACGGCACCGAACTAAGTATGAGATTATTCTCAAGATTTTTCTGAAGCAACACACTTTCTAATAATGAAACTATTAAAACAAGAGAGTAAATTAATTAAGCGCTAAATTTCAGCAGTTTGTAAATGGCCACAGAAATGAGGGAAGTGATTGGTTTATTCACTTTACAAAAGTATACTGAACACCTACTATATGCAAGGCATGCTGGGAAATAAAATAGTATATAAGACACTTCCCATTCTCTTGTTGCTAAAAATCTAGTAGTAAAAATAAGAAGACATATAAATTTTTAAATACTAAAATAAAAGATATATCCTATTTAAAATTGCAATCTGCTCCGCACCCCTCCTTTTCCTGCTTTATTTTTCTCCATGGCACTTATCATGATCTGACATTCCATGTATTGACTGACTAATGGTCCTTCTCCTCTCAGCTACAAAGGAAGCTCCATGAGGGCAATATATTTCATCTATTTTATCCGCCACTCTAACTCGGCACTTTGCAGTGTTAAGTAGGCACCCAACAGCATTTTTATTTAAAAAAAAAAAAAAAAAAGGTAAAAGCTATGCATTATACAAAATGTGGTAAGAATTCTGTAGTCCTCAGGAGATACCACATGAAGGGCACGCATGGGACTGCATCTAGACTTTGAAGGGTGTAATAATCTGGATGGGCACTGATACTGGCAAAGATAATATCTTGCTAAAGCTACATACATGCTACTAAAAATTTAAGTATCGATTCTATCATAACAGCATAGTTTTCAGAACAATGGAACCAATGATCTTCAAATTCTCTGGGGTTAGCTCCTATCTTTTCAGTTTTTAATTCTGGACACTAGGAGAGAAGCACTGACAAACCAAGATGATAAAACACTTGGGAGGAACATAAGAACAGTCTTCATAACCCAAAGTATTCATATAGAGAAAGGAATCAAGACTATTTTCTGTGCTTTATGTATGGGAACATGAGAGGGAGGCTAATTCTACTACTTAGCTTTCTTTGAAGGGAGAAAAAAGTAGATGACAGTAGTGTGAATAGTGAAATGTTAAGCAGCTAGAAGGCAGTAGTAGGAATGGAGATGGTAGTTGCAGCAGCATGAAACATGTTCCCTACTCGAAGGAACGGCAGGGACATAAAACGTTACACAAATAACTGCCACATGCGGACCACGCTCAATACCATAAGAGTAGTACAAAGGGGAAGCCCAAATAGCCCACAGTCATAAAAAAAAGGAGTTCCACTACACTAATAATCAAAAAATGCAACTTAAAATGAGATTATCACAATATGCACTTATGCTACACCTTAGGAAGAAGTTTATCACTGCCAGACGGCTTGAAATGGGACTTGCAGGATGGGAAGACTTTTACCAGGCAGAGATGGAGGGGCTGGGTATTCTAACCGTACAGGACCAGGTAAGCAAAAGTCAGGTGAGAGAACGAACGTGGTGAGCAGGGGGAATTGTGAAGAGTTCAGGTGGCTTGGAATATAAAATACATGAAGGTGAGAGCAAGCTAAGGAAAACTGAAAAGGCCAGATCATGCAGGATATTGTAAGCCAAGCTAAGAGGTTTCATCTTTATTCAGGAGACAATGGAGAACCATTAAAAATATCAAAGCCAAGTTTTAGGATGATTAACCTGGCTTTGGCATATAGGATATGCAAGAGTATAGGAAAGACTGGAGTTGAGGGAAGGTCAATTAGGATAGCAAGACAACTAAAAGTTGACAAGTTCTGAAGAAAGAAGATGGAGCCAGAACTAAAAGGGTCTAGATATAGAGAAAATTTTGACCGATCAATTGACTGAATGGGAGAGCTACATAAAAGGAAGAAGCAGAGAAAACAGAACACCAAATTTTTCTGATTAGATAATTATTCGTAACTTGGAAGCCAGGAAGAAAAATAGGTTCAATCTGATATGTTCAACTTAAAATACATTCAAGTTTGGTTTTAGATTAAAAGACTCCTAAAGAGATAAAAAGCTGCCCCAGCAAAGAAAACTTAGGGAAAGACCACGCTCCCAGATCTTTCTTTGATGAAGAAATCTCCATTCTTTTTGCCTTAAGTAATGGGAGGAGAAAATTAACCAGAGGGCACAAATCTGTAAAGTTAGAGAATTTGTCTGTTTCACCCCTGTATACTGAACACCACGCACAGTGCCTAGCACAAAGAAAGTTACAAAAAATACCTGCAGAATTAATAAGGTGAATGAATTTATGAGCTTATAAGGAACCCTAATAATCGCTAAACTAGAGGGCCCAATTTTGTCTTAAACTCTAAACATTACAGGAAACCACTTTCCATAACTTGTTATACAGCCATTTAGTCTAATATATTACTGATTAGATTATATGCCCCACAATATATAAACCACAACTTTGTTCTTTTTATGATTTTAGGATTTTGATTATGCTCAGGAAATTGTTTCTTAATCCAACACTTCGTCTTGCTCAAATCACTGTATCTGTGAACTAGGCAAAAGTACTATAATTATAGATTATATATAATGGAAACTTCATAAAAATTACCCACTAGAAACAAGACTGGCAAAGAATTAAACACAGTTCCTTTCTAAATAAATTGCTTTTTGAAATGCTTTCAGGGAAAAAAAAAAATGAAAGCCCACATGCAACTGTGGACTGAGGATCTATTAAGTCACAAGTAACTGACTGAGTTTCCCATAACAAAATATTAAGTGACAGTGTGATTTCATTTTCATCAAGCAAACATGTTGAGTAGTAAACACAGGGCTTCCTCCTTACCTGTTTGAGGGCTAAGTGGGGCTTGTGGCGGCCCATTCTGTTGTGATTGCTGTAAAGGACTGCGCATAGCACATCTGTTTCTGCATCTAAGGTTTGGCTCTTCAGTGACAGTGTAACAAGACAGCATTCTCTAATTATGGCTGCAACACAAAGGTCTAAACCAGAGATATTTAATAAAACTTAATATGTATTTCTACATTAAACTTATTATGTAAAAATACCCGAAGGAACATCTTTCCTTACTAAGGGGATTAAGAACAAATTCATATAATCAGCTTTAACTATAAGAACATTATTAACAATTCTAAGTATGTGAAAAGATGGAAAATGGTGACCAAGGATATAAAGTTCAGAAATCACTAAGAGAACATCTGTTAAACAATAACGTGTATCTTTGTATCACATTTTACTATGATTTTTAATAACCTTTCATATGACTACTTTGCAGTCATTTGGTGTACACTTATGCCTAAGGACTTTGATGGCAGGGTACATGTTCTATACTTCTCTAAATCCCCTATTTTGTTATGTACATAAGCAAGGCAGAATGGATAAACTCATACTCTTAAAAGCAAAGGTGCAATATGTGGGTACTACTTTCAGATAGTACCAGATAAGAGAAACCACTGTGGCAACTGGAAGTTACATTATTTGATGAATGTCTGACTGAACACAGGGCGCTCAGAACGAAGTAACACCTTCCTAGTCTGAAAAGCTGTGAAGTAGAAGGTGGAGTTAATGTGTGTCTCTGTGGTACTGAGGATAGCACTAGCATCCCAGATGGATAGAATACAAAGGCAGATTCCTACAGAACAGGGAGAACTTTATTTTGTCCCCAACTATATGAAGCCAGAATGGACTGCTTGGAGAATGGGGAGTTGCTGAATTTCCATGCCTGACAGAAATCCTGTTAAATAATTTTTTAATAGAGAAAGAGGAAGATTAATCTATAAATTGCATAGGTTGTGTGGATGGTGAGGAGGATGGGATGATTAGATAGACTGTATTTCACATTAACTATCACTTGAGTGTCCATTTACTGTATCAGGCACTGTTCCAAATGCTAACAGTACCGCTTCCTCAAAACAGCCCTATGAGGCAGGTACTAGGTTTATCCGCATTTGAAAACAAGCTGAGGCACAGAAAGGTTAAATAACGACACCCCCCAACCTGCCCAGCTCCAGCAGAGCCAAGTGCCAGGATTCCAACCCAATCTGGCTCCTGAAAACAACAGCAGGACCACGGATAAAACACTTTAAGAGCACTCTCCCCTCATGACATCATTAGATGCTCTCAACAACTGTGATAGGTAGGCAGCACTAACCCCGTTTTACAGATGAGGCACTGGAGGCCAGAAAGATTGCAGTATAAATACAGAGTGCCCCAGCGCCTTCCTAAAAGATCAGGAAACAGACGGCAGGGGGAACGGGGCTGCTGGCTGGCTGAGCGAGCACAGGGTTTCCAAGCAGCACTTCTCCCCGACGATAGCTGCGTCTACCTCTCTCCGCCCCCTGGGCGCGGGGCTGGGCCTTGGGCATTCGTCGCTACAGCCAGGCCGTGCGGCAGGCACAGTGGGTTTAATGGAGGATTCCAAACCAAGCCAGTGTCCCCACAACATTCCCGGCAAGCGGGAGCCCAGGCGCTCTGGCCGGGTCTTACCCCGCGCCCCTTCCCAGAGTCCCGCGGGCTCAGGAAGTCCCGCCCCCACCGCGCACGTGCGCCGGCCCAGCCGGACACCGCCTCCGGAAGCGTCTGCCGTTCACCGGGCCCCTCACTCACCCAGAGCCGAGTCGGGGTCCTGCACGGTCACTGCGTTGCGGCTCCCCGCCTTCGGGATTCTCACGCGGTTCCACGGCTCCAGGCCCGGCAGCACCGTAGCCATCTTAGGAGGCCGGGGAGGGGCTGGGAAGGGCGGAGCTGGGCGAGACCTAATTGAAGCGACCGAGGGAGAGGAGAAGAGAGGAAATCTAGGGGAGGAAGAGGGCAAGGGGTGGGACTGGGGCGGGGCCCGGAGGTGGGGGCGGGACCTTCCCTGAATCGTGGACCAAATACAGTGGACTGGAGAGGATGGTCGTCCAGTCCCTGGTCACCAAAACCTGGCCGCGTATCAGAATCACTTGGGAGAGTCTGGGGTTGGGGGCTGGGGAAGAACCATCCCAGTACTACTCAATCAGAATCAACAAAGGGGGGAGGAATCTGCATTGTGTTTAGGCTTCCACACAGGGAAGTTTGGAATTACTTCCAAGGCATTTTACAGATGTAAAAACTGAGGCTACCCATACACCCCCATCTCCGCGTCAGACATTAGGGGGAACGGAAGAAATTAAATAGAGGTTTATGAAAGGTGTGGCATTTGAAACACAGAAGAGGGGATTTACTTTGTCCAAGACAGTCAAGGAAGTTTCCTCTACACCAACAGCAAAACCGCGATCACATCAAAGAAACTTGGAGGCCCTCTGACTCTCCATCAACCCCATCCTCTCTATCAGTGTTTAAGACATGACGGTATCTCAAGCTCTGCTGATCCTCACCTCATTAATAACTTTCTAATTGATTCTTTATCTTCAGCCACACCGACGTGACCTTACTTGAGAAAGTCATCCACCGTAATGTATTAGAGAGGCAGTCCGTGGGTTTTGGAGACAGACCACCAAGGTTCTAATTCTAGCTTTGCCGTTTACTAGCTCTATGACCTCAGGAAAGTTACGTAACTCCTCCAAACCTTAGTATCCTTATGGGTAAAATGAAAATTACAGTCTCTGCCTTAGGGTTGTAAAGTGCTTTAGAACAGTGCCTGGCATACAAGCAGATATTTACGCTTACCAGAATTAATAGTGTTACTATTTCTACTGTTTAATACAAGTAACCTTGCCCTATTGAAACACTTGGCCATGCTCTTCCTACATGCCTTTGCAAATACTAATTCCACTGGGATCATCCCTCAGAAACACTGTCGCTCAGCTCTGGTGTCATCACCTCTGGGTAGTTCTTCCTAAACATCCCATCCCCACTCCATAACTTGATAAAGAGATCCTTTTATATACTACCATAGTGTCTTGAACTGGCCTCTGCATTAGCTTCCTATTGCTGCTATAATAAATCATTACAAACTTAGTTGCTTAAAAGACTTACTGTATTTCTGGAGGTCAGAAGTCCAAAATGGATCCCACTGGACTAATGTTGGCAGGGCTTCTGGAGGCTCTAGTGGAAAATACATTTACTTTTTCCAGTTTCTAAAGGCCACTTGCATTGCATTCTTTGGTTCATGTGTCCATCCTCCATTTTCAAAATCAGTAACATAGCACTTTCATTCTCCCTCCACCTCTCTTTCTCTCATCCTTTTGCCTGTTTAGAAGGACCCTGGTGATTACATTGGGCCCTCCAAAATAACCTGGTATAATCTCCCCATCTCAGAATCTCTAACTTTATTACATCTGCAAAAATTGTTTTGCAATTTAAGGGAACATAGTCAGATTCTGGGGATTAAGATGTGGACATCTTTGGGGAGCCATTATTCAGTTACCGTAGACTCTCTCATAGAATTTACTTCACTGTATTAATTTGTATGTCTTCAGTGGCATATGAGCTTACTGAAGGCAGTACTAACCAGTAGTATAGTTTATTGATCTTTATATCTTAATGCTCAACTCAGAGCCTGGCATATAGTAGGACCTCAATGCATTTTAATAACTTTATTGGGGGTATAATTGCTATACAAAGAATCACACATATTTAATGTGTAAAATTTCACAGTTTGTCAATATTTACTGGTTGAATAAGAGACTAGATAATGCTTGAATAGAGTTTTAAGATGATTAGGAATTTCTCAGGCAGATAAGGGAAGAAGGACATCCTTGACAGAAAGGTGTTAAACAACGTGGGTTGGAAGAATCACTAGTCCTGGGTCAGTATTGCTGGAGCATGATATGTGCTGAGGGATGAAGCTGGGAATGGTGGTGTCAGATCCTGGGCAGAACTTGGATTTTACCCTGAAGGCTGGTGGTTCTCCACACTGGCTGATCATAATTAACCTGGATAGCTTTTAAAAAATAGAAATTAGCAGGCCCCACTTTGGAAATTCTTATTCATTAGATAAGAGTAGGGCTCTAATCTTTGTTTTTTTAAAAGCTCCTTGTGATGGTAGTTTTGATTGGGGAGCCCTTGCTGTAGGTGATAAAGGAGTCTCTGAGTCTTAGGCAGGACAGTTTTGGTCACTTTGCCTCAAAGAGCACCCTGAAGAACAGATTTAAAGGAGATGAGACTGGACATAAGGAGGTAAAGGAATCTGTTGCAAACACTGAGGCAAGACATGATGATGGCCTGGATTCAAACACTGGCACTGAAGATGGATGGTAGAACCTATTAAATGTCTGGTATTTAGATACTTAGATGTCTAGCATGACTTCCAGATTTTTGCTTTGAGTTTTCGATATAGGTTTCAGAAGTAGAACAGATTTAGGTAGGTGGCAGAGATAATGAAATAACTTTTGATATATGGAGTTTGAGATCACCCATAGGCTGTCCACAAGAATATGGCCAATTCACCAGTTGAATAAATGGGACTATAGCTCAAAATGTGATTGCAAAGGGAGGGATGTAGAGATGGTGAATATAGGATAATATTTTTAGAAGCTTAGATAAGAAAGGGAGAGTTTAATTTGTAATAGGGTATTGTTTTGTTTCTCATTTTAAGGTAGTGTATCAGTCAGGGTTCCACCATTCAAACAGAATCAATAGGATATAGATATATAGATATTTTTTTAAGGAATTTATTGAAAGAAATTGGGCTTGCACAATTGCGGGGTTTGGATAGTCAAGTTCGAAATCCATATGGCAACAAGAGCGGGCTGGAAACTGAGGCAGGAGCTTAAGCTACAGTCTATAGATAGGATTTCTTCCTCCTTCCTGTTTTCAGAGAAACCTCAGTTGTGTTTTTAAGACCTTCTAACTGATTGGATTGGGATTACCCAGATTTCCCAGGATTATCTCCTTTACTTAAAGTCAACTGATTGTAGCTGACAATCCCATCTACAGAATACTTTCACACATCTAGACTAGTGTTTGACTGAGTAACTGGGTACTATAGCCTAGCCCAATTGATACACAAAATTGACCATTATGGACAAGAAATGACTTGCTCACATATAGGCTAAAGGAAAGGAGCCAAAAGAGTTAGAGAAGCTAGCCATATCACAGAGATAGAGGGGAGAAAATTAATAGAACAAGACCCATTATTTATTCAATAAAGTTTTTGAGCATCAGTTGTTTGCCAGGCACCATACTAAGTCCCAGAGGAGACAAACAAGGATGGGATCAAGTATTCAGGTAAAGAGGTTGACTTAAAGATCAAACAAGCCTTTTTTCTCCAAGCCAGGAAGAAAAATAAAAATAGCTTTAGATATGGAGATGTTTAGGGTGGCGTACTAGGAGGATGAGGGACCCCAGAGCAAAAGCATCTGTGTAGTCTGTGGAGGAGGATTTGCGATCATTACCGAAAACAGAGGGCAGGGAAATGGAGTTGCAGGTGAGCATTGGATATTTGAAATTAGAGCTTCCTTGAACTGGGGGGTGTGGAATAGGCAGGGGCTCTGTACATTAAACAGAAAGTAAGGGTTTAGGGCCATGCTTGGAAAATTTTAGACTCTGTAAAGAAAGACTGCCACAGATACAAATGACCATCAATTAAACAAAACCTTGGTCATCTCATTAGTAATCCAAGAAATGCTAATTAAAGTAATTTTCAGGTACTGTCAAATAGAGTAAAAAGAGTAAAAAGCATGATGTCCCATGTTACTAGGGCTTTGTACAAAAATTTAGATACAAAGTTATCCTTTGTTGTCATAAAAATGGAAAATGATATAATACTTACACGATGAATCAGTTGGTTTCTAATATTTTGGCAGTTGAATTTTTTTTCCCCACAGAAATCAAATATATAAAACAAGTAAAAGTGGAATTGCAGTGATAGAGGTGTATGGTAGAATGCAGGGCCCTCCCATTAAGTGTTATAAGACACTTCCTAGGAACAGTTTTGAACCCACAGTTGTAAATAAATAAATATGTATGGATGTGAGCAATTTTTGATGATACGGTAAGGTGTTTTTTAAAGCAGCTTAGAAAACGATATGTATAATGCGATTTCATGAAAAAAATACACACTCACACATTGAGAAAAAGGTCTAAAAGGATCTAAATGGTGTTAACTTATCTTTCCAGCAGTGGGATAGATCTTTTCTTTTTCTATGAGCTTATTTGTATTTTCTACTTTAAGGAAAGGAAAATAAGGAAAGAAATATGTGTTAATATTATAATAAGAAAAAATATTTTTAATGCCAAAATAGTGTATGCCAAGGTCTTAGGATATGTGTGTGTGTGTGTGTGTGTGTGTGTGTACGCGCTCATGCGCACACACACACGCTTATATTTAGAGACATATGCTTTCTACTATGCATCCTACTATGGCCTCTCAGCTTCAATCCTACCCTTCTATACTTTGCTCTGTGATGCTATGGCTGGGACAACGCAAAACCAAATCGTCTTTGCCAGCTGGTAGTTACATCAACATGGACCACTAGAAGGAGGTTGGAAGGCAGGAAGAGGAGAAAAGGGACTTGTTCCTTCCTGTTTACTCCCTTCTTTCTGACAGTATTGCT